GCTCGCCGTGTAGAGCAGGCTGGCCTGTAGCTTGCAGAAGTCCTCTCATCTTTGTTCTCTAGCACTGCAGGTGCGTGTCGCTCTGCCACGCCTGATATTATCTTTCTGGGTGAGAATTTCGCAGAGATCCAAGAGCTCCTGCGTGCCTACCTCAGACAATTTGTCTCTACAAGGACTAAGACACTTGACATCAGATTATCTAAGAACCGTGACACCAAGATGCCAGTGGCCTGCAACTGAGGGTCCTCTGTTGTCCTTGGCAACCATTCCCTGACTCATGACCTCAGTAGATTCTCTGACCCACTCTATGCTCAGCATCCTTCTTCAGCAGATGGCTTTATGTTACACTCTAAAGGCTGGGAGGTTTGTCCTTAAGCTGATAGTTGATTGGACTTTTTTGATTTACATAAATAAAACACGTAGTTACTTCACACATTTCATGGCTTCCTGTGGGTGCTAACTAAAATTATCTTCACAGGGCAATGGGGACACTGACACAGTGGCAGTGGGATGACCCTGAAGTCACTGGTGTGGCCAGAGCAACAGAAACCAGGGCTTACATCCTGGTCAAGCTTTGGTTACTGTTCATTCTCTACAGCACACAGAATTCTGCATTTACTCAGTGGGTATTTATTGACCAGCTGAATGAATATGTTTTCCTATTTGGATAATAGCTTTCCCTCTTGAAGAAACAAAATCAAAAGTTACACGCCCTCCTCTGTATTCTGTACCCTTGAGGACGTCCTTCTGATTCCTGGAAAGAAAGACCTCTTACCTTACTTCCATGTCCCCATCTTTGGCCTCCACCTCGAGACCTTGGCTCCTTCAGGTCTCTCTCTGAGAGTTTATCCCACTAGGAGTCACCTGTGCACTTGCTGTCAGGGAAACCCCAAAATGGGAGCTCAGGTGCATTGCTCCTCCAGGAGAGAAGAGCAGAGAAAATGTTCTCCCATGACAGAGGCTTTGGGGGTTGGACATGCTCACCATCTTGACTGAGGTGGGCCTCAGTGGATGTGTAACATGTAAACACTTAGATTATGTACATTAAATATAACCAGATTTCTATGTATCAACTTAAGTCAAAAAAGATGTGCTTTTTAAAATTAAGCTCACATTCAAGAGGTTGAGACAGGAGGATTGTGAGTTCGAGCCCAACCTTGGCTACATAGTAAAACATTGTCTCAAAAGAAACTAATAGTTTACAATTTTTTAAAATTTAAATGTGACTATTACAAGGCCAACCAGGGCTACAATGGTAAGTTCAAGACGGGCTTAGAACAACAAACAAACAAAAACAACAACAACACACAAAACCAAGCCTTAACTAAATAAACCACCCACAATTCTTTGCATATGTGACAAGAGATCCATGGAGGAGTCACATTTCAGAGCAAGGAAATTGGGTCTTTGACATATTTCACACACCAGTTGCTCTGAAGACTGTGTGCCTGTCACGATGACACTCACAGCGCACACGTGGATCCGATGCTGGTTTTGCACCAGAAGAAATCAAAGCACCAAGTATGGATAGCTCTGACTTCCTAGGCAGTACAGAGGATGGAGCTAAGCTGAGGACTGAAGCCATGTTTTTCCACCTTGTGTGTGACACCCGTTCAAAGACAAATTAGGTTTGGAGTCTTCTTGGCCTCCACCCCTTAGGTCATATCACTGGGAAAACACAAAAGATTTGTACATGGATGACAGCAGTTAGCAGGGAAAGCCTGGTGGTGGTGGTGGGGGGACACATGTCCTCTGCTGTATGAGTCTTCCTCTAGACTGACAAGTGCAAGGGGCAGGTACCTGAGTGTCCCCAAGTCTGATCCTCACCCACGGATCTCCAGTAATGGTAAGCTTGTTCACATTCTCACCCTTACCATCTGCTCTGCCATAGGAGAAGCAAGAAATAAGAGTGGAATAATACATTTATACCGTGCCTGAGCTAGACCACACTCCCACTGGGCCTGAGATAGATCACATCCTCCCTGTGTCTGAGCTAGACCACATTCTCACTGTGCCTGAGCTAGACCACATTCCCACTTGGCCTGAGCTAGACCACACTCCCACTGGGCCTGAGATA